TGGAGTCTGAAACTAGGGAGCCATCTGCTCCAGAGTGTGAGTAGCGGGAGTCTGTGCTCCTCCCCCAGCACGAGAGACGGCTGGTGCTACTGGAAGTATGCCTGCCTGAGTGACACTCTCCATAAGGCCCACTAGACGGACCAGAGCATCCTGGAGTACCGGGGTAGCTATGAACCCCTCTGGAACTTGAGGCGGCCCTACTGGAACGGTCTGGGCTGGAACCTCATCATCAAACTCAACCTGAGGCTCCGCCGCTGGTGCTGCTGCTCGAGCTCTAAGCTGAGCCCTGCCCCTGCCTCGGCCTCTAGCACAGCCTCGGCCTCATCCTCTGCCCCTCGTAGGATCTGCCATCGGGGGCTCGGGCTACTGATCGACTTATGAAGCGGTACATGTTCTCGCCATCTGCGAAAGAACAGAGTAGAGAGTTCAATTAGCATTGAGAGATCAAACCGCACGACATAGATGAATAGAAGTGAAACTGTTCCTAACTCTGTAGCCTCTGGGGGATAAGCACAGACGTCTCTGTACCAATCTCTCAGACTCTACCAAGCTTGTCTGTGAATTGTGAGACCTAAGCAACCTAGAGCTCTGATACCAACTTGTCACGACCCGAATTTACCACCGTCGGGACCGTGATGGCGCCTAACATTATACTCGCTAGGCAAGCCAACGTTGCAGAATATTTCACACTTTTTTTTCTTTATCTTTTAATAATTAACTTAATAAAAGTAAATCAGCGGAAATAAATGCAGAAGAACACAGTTTAAAAGATTATCTTTATACTAACAACGAAAACCGAAACAAATTCCACCCAGAATTTGGTGTCACAACTAACGAACACTCTACGAATACTACAAATAATGGTCTGAACAAAAAGTTTACATCTGTCTTTGAAGTACATAAAACATAGATGAAATAGGATAGAAGGGGACGCCAGGGCCTGCGGACGCCTGCAGGACTACCTTGGGTCTCCGGGAAGCAGTGATAGCAACCAACCTCACGATCAGCCACTAGCTCCAAAATCTATACAGAAAGTGCAGAGTGCAGTATCAGTACAACCGACCCCATATAGTGGTAAGTGCCGGGCCTAACCTCGACGAAGTAGTGACGAGGCTACAGCGGGGCATACAACATATACAACCTGCAACAGTTTATACTAAATAGAAAGGAAATACAGAATGTAATAAAGCAATAACTGGCATTAAATAAATTCGGAACCCAGTTGATCTACTAGTATTCAGCTATAACCAATCCTTAAGGGTGTTTCAACATCACAGTAATGGACCTCAACAAAAATGAACACATAACAACAACTGATGCGGCGTGCATCCCGATCCCATCATATAAACAACAACAGTATCAATATTCACCCTTATTACTCCTTGTTTCGGCATGCAACCCGATCCCACCAATCCACCCTTATTACTCCTCGATATTTCACCCTTATTCCTCTTGTTGCGGCGCGCAACCCGATCCCACCTGTCCACCCTTATTACTCCTTGTTGTGGCGTGCAACGCGATCCCACCAGAGTCCAGACAGTCACATTCACCCTTATTCCTCCTGTTGCGTCGAGCAACCCGATCCCACCAGACAGTCACATTCACCCTTATTCCTCCTGTTGCGGCGTGCAACCCGATCCCACCAGACAGTCACATTCACCCTTATTCCTCCTGTTGCGGCGTGCAACCCGATCCCAATATATATATCAGCACCAATCACAAAGGAATAAAGACAAGTGTTTTACAAGCTAACTCAAATCCTCCACATTACTTATACCTCAATCCACACAATGGAATATCACTACGATTATGAAACTTTACCAGTGAAAACTACTCAGTGAGACCAACCAAGGTGCACCATAAGGCACCAATAAATCAATATAAGCCAACAGGGTAATAAAATGAAGCTACGAAACAAATAATACTTCAACGGGAACATCAACAGTTAACATGAAATAATTAAATGATTCAATAAAGAGAACAACAGTTAATATGAAGCAATTAGACATGGAAACATTTATGAGCAAGTAGCAATTAAAGAAGGAAAAGCAAGATATAGGGAAACGGGGAAATGAAACAGGCTAAACAAGTAATTTGGTGACGCATAGGCACTTTTCACCACACCTATACGCTACACACATGATATCTCACATAGCAAGCAAGTCGGGGATCCCTAATCCCTCAAGTCAAGGTTAGACCAAACACTTACCTCAAGCCAACGGGTATTTCAAAGCTCAACCACCGCTTTACCTCTCGATTCCACCACCAATTCACTCGTATCTAGCCATAATTAACTTAATAACATCAATAAACGCTAAAGAAACCAATTCAATGCATAATCAAAGATTTCCCAACATTTTTCCCAAAAAGTCAAAAATCGACCGCGGGTCCGCTTGGTCAAAACTCGACGTTCGGACCAAAACCCGATTACCCATTCACCCCCGAGCCCGGATATACAATTGGTTTCGGAATCCGACCTCAAATTGAGGTCCAAATCTCCAAATTTTAAAATTCCTAAATTCTACCCAAGAATACCCAATTTCCCATGAAAAACCCTAGATTTTGAGATGAAATCATGCAAAAAGGTGAAATAGATTGAAAGAAATGAGTTAGAAATCACTTACCTATGATTTGGAGAAGTTCGGGTCTTTGGAAAATCGCCTATGGGGGTTTAGGGTTCGAGAGAATTGAAAAATGGGTGAAAATCCCGTCTAAGTTTCATTTTGAACAGTTGCAGATGTCGCAATTGCGACCAGAGCTTCGCAATTGCGAAGCTCGCAAATGCGAGACAGGCGTCGCAAATGCAAACCTGCTGCATGCCTGCTACAGTCGCAATTGCGAACCTATGGTCGCAATTACGAAGGTTACCCCCTCCCCCCTGATGACTTCGCAAATGCGAAAGTTTGTTCGCAAATGCGAACTATGCTGGCCCAGGGTTTCTTCGCAATTGCGATAAAACCCTCGCAATTCCCAAGCCCGTGAAGCTCGCAATTGCGAAGCCTGATCTCGCAATTGCGAGATCAGAGCCTGCAGTAAATACCAGATGCAACAACAGATTTTTCTAAGTCCAAACTCACTCCGTGGCCTATCCAAAACTCACCCGAGCCCTCGGGGCTCTAAACCAAACATGCATACCAGTCTAAAAATATCATACGGACTTGCTCGTGCGATCAAATCGCCAAAATAACATCTAGAACTATGAATTCAACACCAAAACTCATGAAATTTCAAGATAGTTCAAAATTTCTAACTTTTCAACCAAAGGTCCGAATTACATCAAATCACCTCCGTTTTTCACCAAATTTCACAGACACGACTTAAATATTATATCAAACTTGTACCGGGATCCGGAACCAAAATACGGGCTCGATACCAATGAGATCACACACTATTCCATTTCTTAAATCCTTATATTTTCCAGCAAATAATTTTCTTCAAAAATACATTTCTCGGGCTAGGGACTTCGGAATTCAATTCCCGGCATACGCCCAAGTCCCATATTTTTCTAAGGACCCTCCGAGACCGTCGGAACACGGGTCCGGGTCCGTTTACCCAAAATATTGACCGAATTCAACTAAAATCATATTTTAAGTCAAAAATTATTATTTCTTAAATTTTTCCCACAAAAGCTTTCCAGCATCGCGCCCGGACTGCGCATGCAAATCGAGGAAAGATAAAAGGAGGTTTTCAAGGCCTCAGAACACGGAAAGGGATTCTAAAACGAAAGATGACCTTTTGGGTCATCACAAACCGTCATCTTCGCTCTCCGAATTTGCGTTTCTTGGTAATACATGGTTTCATTAGTAGTGTTGCCTTTCTCTTCTGCCCGCACACTCGTCAGACTGGAATTATTAAATAAAACTTCAGACTTGGGCATCTTAAGTTCGCCAATAGCAGCGCCTAACTTCGGACTCAAAATGTCTGAAGTTTATACTTTAGTATCTGAAGTATATACCCCATATGTTTGACAATCTTAGCCAAATATCTGAAGTTCATAACCAAATTTCTGAAGTTTATGTCAAATATCTGAAGTTTATGTCAAAATGACTGAAGTTCATAGAAAAATATCTGAAGTACACAATTGAACTGAAGTTTGCCCTTGCTTATGAAGTGAAGTTTGCGTGATTGCCTTTGCAAGTCAGGCCAAACTTCAGGCAAAAATATCTGAAGTTTTGCTTTGATAAGGCTACATTTCAGGCAAAAAATTATGAAGTTCAAACTTCAGACATGAACAATTGAACTGAAGTTTGCCCTTGCTTATGAACTGAAGTTTGCGTGATTGCCTTTGCAAGTCAGGCCAAACTTCAGGCAAAAAATTCTGAAGTTCAAACTTCAGACATAAATGTTTGCTACTTCAGGCCCGTATACCTGAAGTTATGCAAAAATTGGGTACGCTTGTAATTTTTTTACAAAGCGGGTATAAGTTAAAAGATGACCCAAAAATTAGGTATAGATGCAAATCCCCCGTTAAGTCCGCAGGGTGGCCCAATCCAGCCTCAACCACGCCTCATGGTCCACGGGCTATTTGGACCAGCCTTAAAGTCTCATTTAAATGAGCTCCAAAAAATTTGATCCAACCCCATTAAATTAGGGGCTGGATTGGATCGATCCAATGAACCAAGCCCATATTGACGGTTTTAGCCACATTTTCGTTCAGAGGAAAAGAAAAAGAAGAAAGAAAGAAGAGAAGGCCACGTAGAAAAAAAGAAGATCCACGTTTACAAATGTTAGGGCCCGACAGGTAATCAATTATTGTGGGGGCCGGCCAAGCGGAGAATTTCAACTTTGCTGCCTAACCAGTTTGGAAGTGTATATGTTTCTCATATATTTTTTCCTTCTTGATCATCATTTCTAAAAGTCCCAGAAACTATTTTGACCATTGACGATGGTGAGTACTCACCTCGTACTGCCACTAATTATGTTGGCCAAAACAATTGAATCGGTGTTTAGTGGTAATCCTTACTTATTTGCTTACTCCACTTATTTGTTTGATGAATTCTCAGGAAGAGAGTGGTAGTAGTGGAGAGGAGTCAAAGAAGCTGCAGCTCTACTCATATTGGCGGAGCTCATGTGCATTTCGTGTCCGCATAGCTCTCAATTTGAAAGGTATTCTCTTGTTCTTTGATTAATCTTGTCTATCATAAAAGAATAGGAGTATCATTAATCCTTTTTGTGTTTTTCCTTGTTAGGAGTGGAATATGAGTACAAAGCTGTTAACTTGCTCAAAGGAGAACAAACCAACCCTGGTTAGTCTATCCTTTTTTGGGGTGTTTAAGTTTATTGAATAATTGAAAGAATGCTACTTTAGGAAGTTACAAGGTGCTGCTGGTGATAAATAATTACGAGTGAACAGTGATATTTTGCCCAATCAGGTGCCTTTAGGCCTAGGTGTTTGGCGTAGGAAACTTGAAAGTGGCTAACACTTTCGCTTTAGTTAAAAGATCCTCCCCTGATAGGATTATAGTTTGTAAGTTTATTGGACAATAGAGAGAGTGGTATTTGCATTTAGAATGTTACATGGAGCTGCTCATTGTCATTAATTAGGATTAAAGATGAGAAATTGGGTTTGGGGGTGTTAAACAAATCATTGTAGAATTCTTTTGAACTTTTTTTCTTCTTTTTTGGCCTTTGTAATGTGTGGAATAGAATACTTGAAGCTGAATCCCCTTGGATATGTGCCGACGTTGGTGGATGGAGATGCAGTAATTGCTGATTCTTTTGCTATCATAATGGTATGTTTATCTTGTGCTCTGCGATAAGAGTGTCTAATTTTTTGTCATTACTATGTTGTTGGTGATGAGAAGATTTCTTGGGCAGTATCTGGAAGAGAAGTATCCTCAGCGAGCGTTGTTGCCTCAGGATCTTCAGAGAAGAGCAATCAACTATCAGGTACAAAGGAGAAGTGGATAATAGTATTTTTTGGCCATCAGAGCTAAAGTTCTTTAGTATTAAAAAAAGCGACTAAAGTTTTTTAGTGGCGTGCTGTTTCTACCATCTTGGTACTTATCAATAAAATCTTACCTTTATCCAACAAAAAAAAAAAAGTTTTTTGGTCGCGTGCTCCGGTGTCTGATTATTGAATATCATTGTGGGTATGTAGCTTAAGCTGCTGGACCGAAATACTGAATTTTAGCGATGCAGTGGAATGAAATTGACTTGGTTATCAACTGGAAGCCCTGCTGAAACACTTCCCTTCATATTGGAAATGAGCCCATTGCTTTTAAACCCAATGTTGCTTATATGAAATAAAAGGAACTTAAGATAACTTGATCGATACTTATTAAAAAAAAGTGATTGTACAATGCTGAATGATTAAGCATATCGTTGAATTCTACTTGTTCTCAATCTATTTCCTGTTCGAGGAATTCTAAGAACCGTGTGCATCTTGTTGGATATATGTTTAGTATTTGATTGTTTTGAGAACTTAGATGTGCATTGAGTAACTAAACTTACATTGTTTCTTCTTCTCAAATGTTTGTAACCTTAATATTTTGGTAATTCCAAGTCTATCTATTTCTGAGTCCACGAACAAAGTATAATATTCACTTAGGCAGATGAAAATACCATGTAGCTAGTGAAAACTTTGGGACTTTGCTATTGTCTATCTCAGAGTATGGGCCTTATTTGCTACCACTTCCACTACTGCACTGCTAACTCACATGAAATAAGCTGCGGGAAAGTAGTAGTTCAATTGTTTTGAATTCCTATAGCTCTTTCTCAACCTTTATCCCTGGTCTCCTAACTTTTCTCTTTGCCTCTTCATTTCTTTCTGAAGTATTCTTTTGCTCAGATTCTTGGAATTGATTTATCAAATCAGTTCCATGAGGAGAACCAACGAACTAATTGTCTGAATGCAAGTTATTCAGCTTGCAAACACATCCTGATTTTAAAAACCATAGCTAGAATTGGCCTTTGTAGAAAATATATTAGGTACTCCTACCATCTTAAGGCTCTCTTGATCATGGTGGATGGTTTGGACTAATGGCTGATTGCCATAGAAGTTAGTCTTGCTTATAATTTTCTTGGAGTGCAAGAGTGACTTAAAAAAGAAAGAAGCTTATGCGACAGAGGTTATCTGAGATCTCAATCATGAGTATTAGTGATAATAAGCATTTTCATGACGTTGAAGGGTAGAGATCTTGCATGTATCTGGTGCTACCTTGCAGCCTGACCATCTATTTGTATTTAAAATGTTCTAACAGCTATATTTTGAGAAGAGAGGTTGCTCAAGTGCAAAGCACCCTCAATCACCAAGCTTGGTTGAGGGCTCGAGTCACCAATTGAGAAAAGTGGGGAAGGGCCTCCCTTGACTCCTTGAAAAGGGGGTTTTTGGGGGTAGATGTAGGTGTACCCCTATAACACCCCCACCCCCCAGGGCCTAGCTCAAGTGGCAAAGGGTGGTGGATTTGTGTCTTAGGTCACAGGTTCAAGCCCCCACACCATGCAAAGCAAAACCTGGTATTTAAGTGGAGAAGGGTAGAGGGGCGGGCCCATTATCCACCGAGTTTCGAAGGCTGCGGTTGGTCCAAAGGATCGGCCCCAGACGGATTTCTCGGTCATCAAAAAAAAAANCCCACACCCCGACAAAAAAAAAGAAATAAAAAGAGCGCAAGTTTCTTATAGTCAACCTTAGCAGTTGAAACTAGAATTAAGTATTTGATTAAAAGCATATAAAGTAAGATGGCCATTCTTCCAATTGAGGTACATGGCCATGTGGTTGAAATAAAACATGGTGGAGGCGAAATGATATTTTTTGCTTTTCCGTTGGTATCCTCAATGTAATGACCATCAACTGTCATGTCAAAGAAGTATCTTGTCTTATATAAGTTTGCTATAGATATAGAAACCAACGGCAAACTGGACTATATATTGTAGATTTTGTTTTCTTATGTTTAGTAGATTTTGTTTTCTTATGTTTAGTATTGTTACTTCTTCTTCCATGTTTCCATTTCTGCAGGCAGCAAACATTGTTGCAGCAAACATTCAGCCTCTACAGAATCTTGCTGTACTTGTGAGTTTAAGTGATCCTTCTGTTCGCTGGTCATATGAGGTCATTTTCATATGTTTACAAATTCATATGATTTACTCGTTTTTCTTTTTTTGGCCTTTCCATTTGCAGAAGTATATCCAGGAAAAAGTTGGCCCAAATGAGACAACCCCTTGGGTTCAAAATCATATACGAAAAGGGTTTGAAGGTAATATTGTGCTTAATGCTTTTGCGGATATTTATGTGAATCAACTTTAACTTAATATTTGTCCCATAAATTTTGTTTTTGATAAGTATTTTGGTCCCATAATTTGAATCTGAATTCACAATATCTCATAGGACTAGATTTGGATACCATCTCTGCCTGCCTCTCCTTGCAGAAATTGAATGACATACCATTTCCTTTTTACCTGAGATTCTTGGGTGTAGATACTAGATTAAAAGGGAGGACACCAGAGATTCTATGAAAATTAGACATTGAGAAGGCTTATGATTATGTTAACTGGGAATTCTTCCCCTTATGAAAAAAAATTGGATGTTCTTGCTTAAAATATTGAAGGATATGGGTTTTGTTAGAAGAAGGATTTATCTCAGTTGGTCTAGAAGTTTTCGTAACAGAGATTTGCTTTTGCAGCACTTGAAAAGCTACTTAAAGATTATGCTGGAAAGTATGCGACAGGAGATGAAGTTTACATGGTTTGTTTCTTTCCAGTCCATATGTTGCTATGTCTTCATATTTTTCAAACATGCCTTGGTCTTAGCAACTCATTGTGGCACTTCTAAGTCTTTTACCCCATAGGTCTCATATGTTTTCTTAGTTTGGTCAAAGAAAGTAAAGTGAATTTAATTCTGAGCCATCATAAGTAAGCGCACCAGAACTATACATCCACAACACAAGTGTATTAATGAAATAATGTTGACTTGTAGAATAGCAAAGCGCGAATTAGTTCAGTCATATTACCTCTTAATGGACTGAAAAGATGGACACTTTTATGTTATATAGAATCCAACTCAGATGCTTAACTTGTTTTGCAACTTGCAGGCCGACTTATTTCTGGCACCTCAGGTCCATGCAGCAATCAAGCGCTTTGAAGTTGACATGGTAGTGCCTTTATAGACATCCCTCCTGTACATGACTTCCAATCTCATTTCTACACGCCCTCTGATATTAGAAGATCATGGTAGAATAAAGATTTTGTAATCCTAAAGAAGGGAAAATAACGTCTTTCTTGATTTATATAGAATTTTGTATGGCGGCGTGCGTCAGATAATTAGCACCTGATTTCGTGAATTGTTTGTTAGTGGCATACATAATGAGCACCTAAAAAAGGAGTTATGTTTTTTCTAGAGACAATGTGTTGCAAAACTAGCTTTCTTGATTAGATGAAAGGGTACTCATTTGCTGCTGCTTTTTATTTGTCATGGTAGCCGTAATTGATTGTTCCCTGTTAGTTTACCTTACTATGAATTAGTGTCTTTCCATTTCCATTGTTTTGTAACTTTTATTCTAGTCTGTTCCTTCTTTTAGTCAATCAACACTTCCAAGAAATAATTTTTCTCTCAGAAAAGCTAATTGCTATATTCATTTCAGTATTTCACTTGATTTACCTTAGTTGTTGGTGGAACTTTCATTGTTCTTAGGTGATCTTATACGTATGCATCTCCTCTTTAATGAATGTTCTCTTCCTAAAAGTTGTCAATGCAATGTGCAGAATCAATTCCCCACCCTGTTGAGGGTATTTGAGGCTTACCAAGAGCTGCCTGCTTTCCAGGATGCTTTGCCAGAAAAGCAGCCTGATGCTACTGCCTGAGGCAAGAATCTCAGGTTGTTAATTACTTTGGAGTTAAAGAATATTTACTTTGTTCATTTATTTTTTTGCCTTAAATGGTCATACTTGTGCACTCAACATGGTTAGTATTTTAATGAGCAGTCTATCCATCTCCTTGAAAGTTCCCTTCTCAAACCGGTGACATAACTGCTGGACTTGCATTTCGGAGAATTGTTAGCTTTTTGCTGCATATTCTATTTCTAAAGGCATTATGACAAGGATGAGGATGGCGTCTGGTTCTTTCACGTTAGATAAGAAAACTGGTGTGCAAATCCTTGCATGCTTGGCACCTGTGCTTCTAGTAATTTTTTCCCTTTTCCTCTGTAAACTGCTTTACTATCAATAAAAGTATGTATAGCTGTGTAAGAGAATACTGAAGTTAAGACAGTGAAATGGTATTGTATCTATGTTAAGGAGCCTAGGATAAAAATTCATCCATCTGTGTTGTGATTTGTGAGTTGTGACCTAGAATAAAGTTGCCTGCATGTTGAAAAGAGGACGTGTCTCTGCTTTTTGTTTGGTTGAACAGAGTATTTATCATGTCTGAACTCTAAATTAGGCCTCAACATTTCGTTCTAAAGAAGGCAAAGGAAATTACATGAACAAAATGAAGAAGCAAGTTCACCATTAGTCGCTTTAACCTTTTCCTTCAAAAGGGAAAGGAAATTACATGAACAAATAAAAAGCAAATTCAGCACTAATCATGCCAACTCTAAATAGGAGTCAAACATTTTCCTTATAACCTACCCGCGCCAAGCTTTTCTGCTGGGGTTATCTTCAACTTCTTGCATTTGCCACTTCTTTTCGGTCTCATATTTGCGGCTGTAATAAGTTTATAGTCAGAGTGAGGTATCTCACTGGACTTACCAAACCATTGCTCATAAAAATGCCATACCTCTGACCTGCTCAGGAGAATAACCAATAGCAAAACTTCAGACTTCAGCAAGCTCACAAAAAATAATAAGTTGGAACAGGAAAAAGGGTGCGGCAGCCTACCAATATGCCAAGAACTGAAACGGTGCATACTTTGCATAAATTTTTTCAACATCCTTTTGAACTTTCTGAATACTGGAGGTTATTGCATGAACCTGGAATTTTCGAAACAGCAAAGCTGACTTAGATGCCTACTAATATATTCATCCATGAGCATTTCAGTGGAACATCATATGCACCGGTGTATATTGGCACAAGCAATAGACTTGCCAAGGCAAATTTGTTGAGATAAATTACCTGTTTTAGATGCCTAATTGTTTCTGAATCAGTAGGAATAACATGGTAGTAACCCAAGCACATCAGTACATTAGCACAAGTAAAAGGGCCAAATCCATCAATTTCTCTCAGTTGCTCAGCCATTTTATCATAGTTGGACAAGCTTGGGTTGCAACAAGCTTCTTCAAGTTCTTTCAGCAAAATCCTGCCTTCAACTATGCCCTTAGCAAGCTTTATAATGCGCCCAGCTCTATACCCAAGACCACAACGCTTAGCTAGAAAACTCTCATCAAGGCCTGCCAATTCTTTCGGGCTAGGGAAATTCCCAATCTGATTAAAAGAGCTCAGCTCTCTATCTTCTGAAGGATCAGGATTGAATGATGCACTTGTACTAACTTCACAAACTTCGGTTGTAGCCTGAAAAGCATCAGTTATTTGGAGAACAGCCTCTTTACCATCTGAAAATGCAGGTTCCACACTTACATCCGCTTTCCCTTCATCCACAATTTCTTCGACTTCTGTGAGCCTCTCCAATAAATTTCTGCCACATCCATAAACTCCAGCTCTTTTCCTTGATTCTTTTCCTGCTGGTGTTTTTGGACTGAAATGCTCAGATTCGGCAATGACACCCTTCAATTGATTCAGATTATCGGCAGCAGAAAGTGACACAGCTGATGATGGACAGTTTAGCTCCAATTGAAGCTCACATAATGCTTCAGCCATGCTCAATGTCCTTGACCACCTACCCAAGGATAGCAAATACAAAATGTAATTGAGATAATGAGCAAAGGCTGCAGATTTATGAATTATTTATTTTCTTTTTATCCAAACCCCAAATCAAGCTGCTTTTTCAGATCAAATATTGGGAAGCCCTAACAGACTTCAATTTCACTTCTCATTACAGGTAGCAAGCAACTTCATTTACAAAATAAACATATTTATTAGCTTACTAACTTTAGAATTGCTTCAATACAGGAAAATGAGATCAGAAATACCTAACAAAGTTTGGTACATTCCCTTATTACCAATCAATGCTATTAAATAGAGTTAACTACAATATCTTTATGCTGACCTGATTGTGTAAATGTTTTTTTCCAGCTCAAATACATAGTACTTAAACTCAAATTCTCAACGTGCTATTCAGAGAGATTATATACTACAGTCTCTATTCAGATAGCTTATATATACTATACAGTCTCTACTCAGTTCAACTACTCACTGGCAATTGCAGAGCAGCACACACTTCACCATGTCCTCAAACAATGTCGGCGATCTAAACACTCTCCCGAAACCTCTCTCCTTTGCTTCTCCACAAATCTCCTGAAACTTTCTCACTCTTTCATTTTCCTCCACTGATAATCTCAGCATTCGCCTCACTTGACCCTATATAAACAGTAAAAGTAAACCCCAACCAATAAACCAGACTATACAAGGAAATGCAAAACGTACAAATTTTAAAAATACATAAGGAACAAAGAGTACCAGCAGAGAGCGTTGGTGTAAAGGAGAAAGAGAATCGGTGCCGAAAACACGAAGATGGAGAGAATGAGGAGAATCGGGCGGTTGAGATATTCGGACGAGATGAGATTTTTCGTGATCATCGTCGTTAATGTTTTCGGAGAGGCGCAATGGACGTTCTAGGGTTTTGGAGAGAGAGTCCCAGTGGTTTGGGGCCATCATGAATAGGCCGTGACTACATACTGCTTTTTCCAAGTCGCATGTAGCGCCTTCGCCGAGTGGTAGCTCCACCACCACGCTGTGGCGGCGATCGATCTCTTGCCGGTACTGCATTTTACTGGTGATAGCCGTTGGAATGAGAGAGGAGGAAGAGGAAGAAACGATAAATCAGCAGAGCATTTTAGCCCCTTACTTTTGGGTAACTTTTCATTTTCACCCTAAACTTCATTTGGAGCACTTTAGGTATCAAACTTTGCAATTAATCATTTGTGGTTAGAATTTGTGTGTTATATGGAGTATATACACGGCCTAATGTGCAATAAGCGCGCGCATATATATATATATATATATTATAAAACGTCAACTAAAACAACAACAATCACCCAGTAGAATTCCACAAAAGTAGTGGAATAATAAACTTTCAATTGAGAAAATATTCTAAAACTACTTGTTACTGAATATGTATTAAGTTTAATAGTAAATTCCTTAAAACCAAAAAAAGAAGAATATAATATATATAATCTAAACCAACTTAGGAATAAAGTTCTGACACGAACAAAATAGAACTGAATATATTGGGTGTCAAAAGGCAACAAATTTTATATTTGCTGGAAACATACCACCTCTATATGTAAATTAATTTACTTCAAAGTAGAATAGCAGAGACATAATACAATTACGGACTCTCTTTTCCTAGTTATCTTTAACTAATCATTGTTCCTAATAATGCCGGTTCAAAGTGTTCCTATTCATATGAAATTAGTATAGATTTGAAACTCAAGAACCGATAACATTTCAAATAGCTGAATAGTTGAACTTGAACTCTTGTTCTAATAAGAGAAGGATTTAGAATCCAATACAAAGTTTAAATATTCTATTGTTAGTGACTTTAACGTCCTCTAATTAGTATTCCAAGACATTAGTACATAGAATGTTCTAATAAGAGAAGGATTCAGAATCCAATACAAAGTTTAAATATCCTATTGTTAGTGGCTTTAGCGTCCTTTAATTAGTGATTCCAAGACAATAGTACATAGAAATTTAAGGGCATAAAAGTCAGTTAATATTTTGGAGATATTTTTGTCGTTTAACATTTAGCGTGAAACATTCGTACTTTTATAATAATACTGATACATACATACATATATACTTATATATA